CCAAGGCTTTTTCAAGCAAGGATTCGTAGAACCAGCTACTTTTTCAGAACATACGTCATTGTGGTTCCAAGCGAACCGTGCTGCTGGCCTAAAAATGCAACGTAAGAAGACTGTTGGTCACTGATTGTTTAGGGGTTGGAGTCACTGGTTGCATCACAAAAGCTACTCTCACAACAATCAAATCCACCATTTGCAATAACAACTCTACCATGTCCTCTATTGTTGTGTATCTTTTCTTCATCTTCTTCTATGTTTAATGGTGGCTGGTAAATATCTTAATGGAGCATTACTGCCACCAGCTGGTAAGGCATGTGATGTTAATTTTCAGACTTTGGGACCACCCAACCCACCCACTAGAGCTGTTTCTGAAGTGTAATGGAAAGCCACCCGAACTGTGCTGAACAGAGTTGAACCAAGTTGAACCATGCTGGGCGGCACGGTGGCTCAGTTGGTAAAGCTGATGCCTTTCAGCAAGAAGGTCACCGGTTCAAATCCCGGTCCGGGGACCTTTCTGGGTAGAGTTTGCATGTTCTCTCCGTTCATGCGTGGGTTCTCCCCGGGTACTCCGGCTTCCTCCCACAGACCAAAAACATGACTGTTAGGTTTATTGATAACTCTAAATTGGCCCTAGGTGTGAGTGAGAGAGTGAATGGTTGTTTGTCTCGTTTGTCTCTATGTGTGGCCCTGTGATGGACTTGCAACCTGTCCAGGGTGTACCCCGCCCCTCGCACTGTGACTACTGGATATGGGCACCAGTGACCCACGCTACCCTGAAAAGGAAGAAGCGTGTACAGAAAATGGATGGATGGATGGATGGATGAACCGTGCTGCAGAGGCACTAGTAGAAAAGGGCCATTAGTGCATTGTGTGGGCCAGAACTGGACCATGGCAAATTTTACTATGCGGGTGTGCTCTATCACTGATGTCCCTGCTTATGAGGTACAAACATCAAAATAATTACAAACATAAACCAAATCACAACTGCACCAGTTGTGGTATATCATATAAACAGTTTCATCATTGCCAGACCTGGCCCATATCCTGTTGACCATCCACTTGTCATGCCAGCTTGATACCAGATCTGGCCCACACCTGCCTGCTATGTGGGCAGAGTATGAAGTAAAAAGGCAAAAATCTTTGTCCAGGCTAGGCTAAAGGCTAAACAAGTACAATTTTTTTTTTCACAAAGACATGGAAACTGTTTGATCAAAAGACCCACTTTCTGACAGAGTTCAGCAGGGTTACATTTACATCCTAATAATCACAGCTAGATTGTACAGTCAATCTTTGTAAAACTCTTATCTTAGACTCACTCGACCATATCTACAATATAACCACATTCAGTATTTTGATCTACTGCAGCAGATTTCAGCAGGTTGGAGCTCAGACCAAAACCTCCTGCACCTATCCGCCGACAAAGTTTTTAACTGCAGCCTGAAAAGGTCTTTACAAGACACAGGTGGGGAGTTGCTTTCCCCACATTACATTTGGGTTTTAATTTCCCCACGGTGCCGCCTGCAGAGCCTCAGCGTTCTGTCTTTGCTGCTTTACTTTAAAGACTTCCTCGCTTTGCTCTTCATGCTGGACCCACAGAAGTGCAACACCTTCTAGTGCGAAAGCAAAACCATTTTTTTAATTTAGAGGTCTTACAGCGTTTATTGGTCATTAGCCCTGGAGTGAGGGGGAGCTCCGCTGAGAGGAGTCGTCTGTCTCTTTGTGTTTGTAGGAACTCGTTGCTGAGATTTTGTATGATAGATTATACACGGCTGTAATAATAATAAGATTGAGAATGATTCCAGGCGCGCTGAAGTCCGTGCGGAGTTGCACTCCACTTACACTGCCTCTGTGATTCAGCAAAGATCGGAACAAACACAATCCAGTCCGCCTGTTTAAACAAAGGCAGACGAGCAGGACAATGGCTCCAACAATGACAGATAACATTAACTCCTGCTGCACTGGGAGGCCACGCAAACAATGATATCACTGTCACAAACATCAGCGCTTAAAGCTTATAGAGAGTCTCTTGTCTAAAGATTAAGTAAGAAAAAGACGTCACTCTGATTTGAGAAGATATCATTAAAACCAATGTATTAAACGTTAAAAACACCCGTTAATGTAGATCATTAGAGGGTAGAGCAGCTGTCTATTAGTGGCTAAAGTTGCCACACAAACATGCATGACTGGGAGATTACAACAGCTCAGGATGCTATTAACTCCCCCACATCAGAGCGTCAAACAACATTATCCCACAGACTGAGAGGCAGAACGCCACTGAACGTTTCAAACCCCATGGATGTCAGGAGGGTCAACTACTGCAGGGGGAATAAAAACGCACCATTTGGTCCCGGCCTGCACCGTGAACATTTCTTCATGAGCTGGAGAGCCGCGTATGTTCCGTATCTGAAAAAAAAAACATTTGCTTTTAAAAAGCTGATTTATTTTCCTGCTGAAACTGGCGACAGAGTGGAATTTAGATCCGAAACATGCTGTCGCTGAAACGGCACAAGGGGATAATTAATTGCTGAAGTGATTATTGCAATCAAACATTCCAGAGCATTTCAACAGCCTAATTACAGCAGGTGGTCGCAGGAAATGTCTGTTATATAATCTTTGGCACATTACAAATGGAAGAAGTGCTTGTGTTGAGCTAATGCCTTTAATGGTGATTTGACTTGGCAATTTTTCTAATGGTCAGAGGGTTTTTTTATATCCACAGCAGGGTAGCAGAGTTGAAACAGCCTTCTGTGGGAACAGGCGGCTCCACAGAGGTTAGCAATGATCATAGGAGCGCTGTGGACTGACACTTTGTTGATCTTCTTGATGTTTTAGTGGTTTGATCCCATAAACCAGCCATAAAGAATTTATGTTTTTTCGTACCGTGCATCACAAACACTTCATTCAGCATTTATGAAACAACTCGGGGGTCCTTCATTGCTTGTGACCGGTGCAGCTTTGCCTGTGTTTGACTATGAGAAACAGAAACAGACCAATAATAGGAGCACTGACTCATCTGTTATTGATCGTTTAAGAAATGACCCCTGGAACAAAGTGACCAGTAGCCCTCTTGTCCCTTGAGCCTCGACTCATCAGCCCATTCAGCCAACGAGGACCTTTGTCGTTAATTATTCTCACAAACAGCTCAGTGACCCTTAGACCAAACTAGAGCAGTAAACTCTCAGGCAATTTATCCGTATTTTTAGGGGAGGTTTTTGTTCTTTTTATGCTTAGAATCCAACTACACAAAGATAACAGGTGTGTGAAGTTTGAAGATATTTATTTGTTAGTGTAGTTTGTTTACACCTTCAGAAGAAAACAAATGAATATTAGACATATTTTAATACTAAATGCTTTAAATCCGAGAAATCCAATTTAACTTCTCAGGGGGTCAACATTAAAAATTTGGTCCTAGTTGAGGGGCAATTTTGGTCAATATTAAGAAAAATATCTATTAACCTTAGCTTACAGGTGTAATATGTTAAATGTTCATAAACAAATATAAATTACTTTTCCCCCAGAATGTTTTATTTAGAACCTAAAACAATTGTAACTGAATGAATAAAGAAAAAAGTTCACATTATTTGCATTTGCTATGTTTGTTAGCAATACATTTCATGAACAACTGTATGAATTTAAAAAAAATTGCAGAAAGTAATTTAAATTACATCAGCTAACAAACCTTTAGAATCTGTCTAATTCAAGATGGTTGCCTCAACCAACTGACCTTAAAAAATGCAAAATAGGTTATAGTCAATTCTACATACATTGGCCAAATTTGGTCTCGTTACAGTTGAGGCACAGGATCTTTGTCATAACCTTAACCATAATCATTGGATGTAACTTTTGGAGGTGGGCTATGTCACTGGGATTGCTCTTGGCTAACGCCACACTAAATATTAGCTCACTATTTCTAAAAATAGTTGATTTTTAGCTATTTAAATTATCTTTGGTAGCCATCTTGGATTTTGTATTAGATTTTGTAAAAGATTGTTACTTGGTTACGACGTTAATTTTCAGCTGTGTGTGTTTAAAATTGGCTAAATTATAGCCCTTTGTGAAATTGGCATTAGCTGTTGTCTTAGTTGGGACTAACAATACGCATATTTTTGGATCATTCTTTGCTTCAATCACACACAGTTTCAGCTTAACATTTTTTTAAACAGTAAAATTAGAGCTGTTTGAAATAAACTGTGGAGGTCTACATGATTTTTGAAATCCTGACTAGTTTTATTTATTTGTATGTGCCCCCCTAAAAACCATCTTGGCCACCCCGTGCAAAAATGTCTAGCTCCACCCCTGTCAGTTTGTCCCAAATTGGAGTTAAACAGGGATTAGGCTACAATATGAAGGACCAGATAATTAGGCTACAATATGAAGGACCAGATAAAATCACATCTCAGACGTCATCTAGCCTAGCCTGGTTAAAACCATAGATATATCTGTAGTTAAAACCAGACCCTTGTCCTTCGCTTGAGCGGAACTTCTTGGGCAGGCAGGGGCCAGGCTACACTGTAAAAAATGAAATGTTGGATTTACTTAACCATGTTATGTGACCTGGTTCCACTTAACTGAGTTGAGTAAATTCAAAGCAATATACCAGTTTTTTAACCAAAGAACATGAGGATGTTGCTTTGGATTTACTCAACTCAGTTAAGTGGAACCAGGTCACATAACATGGTTGAGTAAATCCAACATTTCATTTTTAGAGTGTACATCTGGCCCACTGGCATTGAATTTGAGACTTTCTTTGATGCAAACATTGATGCAATATTAAGTTAATTTATGCTGCCATGGTTAGGTAATCTCTTAATGACAAAGTGATGCAATTATAGTTTTTCTGGGGGGGGGGGGGGTGTCATTCTGACGACAGTTTTTCCAATGACGCAACTCACGTCGTCAATTGTCGTGTTTTGAATAAATTGCAAAGCACGAAAAGGCAAACAGAAAAAAGAGAAAGATTCCAAAAAAGTTAGAGGTTTTTTTTTTTCATAATGTTGCCCCGCCCTTAGGAGGAGGAGGAGGAGGAGAGGAGCCCATCGGAGCCTCCAAAGTCCCGGAGACTCAGAGGAGGACAGAAACTTTTACGCGCAGGTTCTCTTCAGTCCCAGAGGCACTCACCATCAGTTCAGCGCTGCGGGAAACGAGGTAAGCAACGTGACTTTTTTATTTTTTATTTTATTTGGGGGGGCTCCATCCGCGTGCGCGCGGCAGTTTGTTTCCCCAGTGGACGTCACGTGAGCCTCAGGTCATTATTCACTTTTGGAAGCCTGCATGCTGTGTTCTGGTGCGCGTCTGATCCTAGGATCAGAGCATGTGGAGTTGGTGTTTTCCTGTGTGTGGTGACAACCTGAGAAATAAAATGTGCAATTTCAATCAGAGCAGCCTCAAAACCCTGGAGTTGTAATCACATAGTATTTAAAAGTTTTACCTGCAAAAACAGCCTCTTGTTGAGCACTCTCAGGTTCTATTTGCAGAACTTTTATGACCCGCCTATCACTCACGATTCCTTTCACATAGTTAATTCCCCTCCTCACCTAATATGAATATTGTGAACACATCGTGCACCCCTGAAGCTGAGGTCAGCTGTTAAAGCAGCACTGCCTGCCAAGTTTTGGACTTGCAAGATCTGCTAAAATGATCTCGAGCTCTCTGCACACAAAGGCATCATTGAGTCTGAATGCTGCTGCAGTGCACTTTGTGTGGCTCTGCAGCCAAATTTAGAAGAACAAAACACCAGATGTTCTGTTCATTGGACCTGTAATACACGTGGGCCTACTGTACATTTTAATTTATGATTTTGCTTACATGTGAGAAACTTCCTTCCGTTTTTTTAAAGGATGGACTGGGATTACATGTTGCAGCTCAGTCTTGTAACTTCACGTTGTATTAAATGAGCCGTTTCTGCAGAGGAAAAAGGAAACTTCCTTTGCATGAAATGTTTCTTTTTAATGAGACTCTAATCCAAGGATGCAGACTAGTCTGGTACAGATGTGATAATATAGTGAGCTTTTTTTGGGTGGGGGGTGTCTTGAAATTTTCTTTAGAGAAGTTTGTCACTCAGAACTTAGTTTGAAGTTTATTAAAGGACGTTAACTCAACTTTGTGGAAGGAAATGATGCCACAGTTCTTGCGAAGTAAAGAGAAAAGAGGAAAAGTCAAATAGAAACCACCTGGTTTTTGGACAAGCTCTTGAAGTCACATCACTTACAGGATCGAGCTCTGTGCTGCCATTCTGTGCAGATTGGAACACGAAAAGGAAAAAATAAAGCTCTGGGGATTTTAACTTCATTCAAAAACCAATCAAAATCCTAAAAGAGCTCAAAAAATGTTGATCTCCACCAGCCCCTTAAAAATCTCTGTTACAGTTTTTGTACAATGATCTCCAGTTCTATGAAAGGAGCTTGGTTAATTGGATGGATTTAGAAATGTTGAGTCCTCCACAAACGACACCCGTTAGCCAAATTTCCACGTGCAATTAAAAACAAACCTCAGCCTCCCTCTCCTGCCGTGTCAAAGCAGCGGGCATGGAAAAATGTACGCCTGCAAGGTCATCAAATCAAAGCTGACAAGTTATTAAAATAAAAACGAACATATTATTTTATCATATCTGAAAACCAGCCATAGCAGACTGATTTTTATCAACCAAATAATCATTCTTTGTTTTTACAGGCGAAAGAGACGCTGCTCTCCTTCACAACTGGAATCAAGTTTAAAAACTTTTAAAGCCAAAAAATACAAAAAAATGAAGCCACTAATATTTTTCTGCCTGTTGGTTTCATGTGTGGACATCTGTGGAAGTCAGACAGACTGCACAGGTGTAGCCTGTCCCGATCTACAGAACTGTATTGACAGCACTTTGGAGAAAGGTGCCTGTTGTCCCAAATGTACACAAAGGGGCTGCGCCTGCGAGGGCTACCAGTTTTACGATTGCGTCCATGCAGGCTTCCAGAAAGGGAAAGTCCCGGAGGGGGAGTCGTACTTTGTGGATTTCGGAAGCACGGAATGCTCCTGTCCTCAGGGAGGAGGGAAGATAAGTTGCCGCTTTATTCCCTGCCCAGAAATCCCCGCCAACTGCATCGACGTTTCCCAACCTGCAGATGGATGTCCGCAGTGTGCGCGCCTCGGCTGCAGCCACGGCAGCAGGAAGTACGAGGCGGGACATTCCTTTCAGGTGGGCCAGTGCCAGGTTTGTCACTGTCCCAACGAAGGGGGCAAGTTAATGTGCTCCCCCGTCCCTGACTGTGACCTTGGCGGCGTTGGTAAGCCCACTGAGAACAACAGTGGTCTGAGGGACGTGAGCAGCGGTCCCGACACACAACAGGGAACTCTTGCCGAGCAGTTCTCCAAGCTCACGCTGGCAAACACTCTTCCTCTGTATAAGCAGGACCCACCCAGTTTTGGCTCGGAGGATTATGACTACTCGCTGGCAGAGCCGACATCTTCCACCGCTCAAACTCTGGCTCGATCAGCGGAGTCTACTGCGGCACCTCCAGCTCACCCTGAGACGAGCTCTGCCGCCTTTATCTCTCATGACCACTGGATAAATGAGCTGAGGGAACAAAGCCCATCTACAGCGAGGCACGCCGAGGATAAAGTCATACAAAACACATATTCGGCCACTACAGGGGCTCATAACGATGCATCAATGTTAACACCGACTGCAGCCACACAGAGAGTGGACACAGGGACCCACAGGCCGCAACAGGAAACTGGAAAAAAGGCAGCGAGACATAACAGTCACAGAAACACAAAGGTTGGTCACGTTGACCCGCAGAGGCAAAGTCAGGGTAAACGTGCAAGGAATCACAGCCGTTCCCATTCCATCAGCCACCAAGAAAAAGTGCAAGTGGAACCAAGCATTGGCAACAATGAGCAGAGCTCAGACCCCCCAGTCCATTTCAGTCCCACCAGCACAGCTCCAATCAAGACGGAGGAGGACAGCGAGGGGCCTCGGAGACGACCGCAAACCCTCCTCGACTCCCAGCCTCAGGAAGTGAAGGAAGACTCTGAAGGTAACGTTTCCTAATCAATCGCATCTGTTGGTATGTAAATGTGGAAGCAAGTGTCTGAAAGCAATTTGATGTAAATGAAATCTGAAACACAAGTGGTTTCAATTCACACAACACGATCCAACAAAGTACCACTCATTACAATGCACTGATGAAATGACCTATACTGTAGAACTACGCTCACATCCTGCCTTTTGAAGAACAAATTATTAGCACTTAATTCCAGCTGGCAGAGATCCAAAGTAGAAAAAAACAACAAACTATTGTTCATGGAAAAGCAGTTCACTGAGATAGTGATGTTTTTTTTTCTCAGAAAAGTCACTGACTATATTTAGAACAAATTAAGTTCACACATTGTTCTTTACTCCAGAGGTTTGTACAGTGTAAAAAAAAAATCACCATTTTCCAATTTTTATTCATAATCTGTATTTGATGCTGCAGAAGCAGCTGATAATTGTGATTCCTTGTGTTTTGCACCAGGGTCATTTAGTTAATACTGGCTGCCACTGAAGGTGAAAGGGCAATGTTTTTGCCCATGTGTGTGTGTTCGCTACCTGGTGGGGGCAAATTTAGACAATTTTCCCAGCACACACAGCCTGGTGAGTACTGTTCCTAATGGGGACAAAAGCCCGGTCCCCATCGGGGGAAATACCATTGGTGGGTTAGGAGTTAGGTTTAGGACTAAGGCACGAGTTGATTTTAACTTAAGTTTAGGGTCAGGTATGTACAGGGGTGGTTAGGTTTAGGGTCAGGCTTAGGCTATTGAAATGACTGGCAAATGAATGGAAGTCAATGCAAAATCCCCATGAGAATAGAAGAACAACCATGTGTGTGTTTGTGTTTGTTGCATTAGCAAAATATCCCATGAATTAAACTTTAATGAAACTCTCAGAACATTTGGAGAGAACCCAGTGCAGGATGGCTGCCACAGCTAAGTGCTCGTTGGAATCACAAGAATAGCTATAACTTTGTCAGTTATACAGTTACTGAGACAAAATATATTGTAGCTAAGACTGATCACCAACACGTCTTCTTCCTTAAACATCACACCAGCATTTTCAGCAGTCAGAGGAATGTGTTAAGTCATGACTGATACACAAACATACAAACAAAATGAAGGACCCTTCCATCCCCCTGGCCATCACTCATTAATAGTCCACCTGTAAACCCTGCCACTTTTTGCAAATGGACTCTCTGTTCATGTTTTCTTTGTAGTTGTGTAAGGAGCTTTTTAAAGAGGTTATTATGCAAAATCAACTTTCTTGAACTTTATGTCAAGTTATAATGTCATTCCCTCATCATAAACATACCCAAAGTGTTCCTTTGACTCATTCATGTACGTTTGAGAAATCCTTGAATCTCCTGTGGTAGCCATGTGGAGCTGCCTAAAAGCTTTCTGGTACAAAGCTCCGCCTATTTACACAAAGCTCCTCCCTGGAGCTTGGTCCTTAGCTGAGCTCCCACCCCACAGAACACCACTCCCACAAAGCATTGTTGTGAAGAGGTGTTGAAGTGGGAGTGTCTGAAATGGTAGGAGGTTCTTAAAGAGACAGAGGATAATTTTAAGATGTTTAGATAGACAATGATGCAAAGTCAAATTAATTTTTGATATATACAGTATTTTCAGAACAGAAATGAATTAAGTGCCTGTAAAAATACATAATACAATTGACATGCCTTAAAAATCAGGGACCAGTTGTTGCAAAACACGGTCAGTGTCCGAATGAGACCCTGACTGTGTTTTAGGTCACAATTTAGGTCAGAGTCAAACATTTGGGAACTGTTCCAACATGTTCAGGACTATTTTATCTCTTTTCCCCTGCAATTTAAAAGACCACACAGACATCATATGCGATGATTCCAGCCCTGCATTATGAAAGATCTGTTGGAGAATAAGCTGATATAATGACATAAATGGCTTTAAACATGGATGAGTGTTATTAGTGGAAAAAGGCTGAAAGAGAAATCACAGCTGTCTACTGGTTCTGTTTTTCAAAGTAATCAAGAAAAGATGCAAATAAATTTAGAGACTAAAATGATTTAAAAATGAACATGTCTAGGATATTATTTTCAATAAATGACAAAAAATCTACTTCTGGTTAATGGCACACTAGTTTTAGGTGTATTATCTCTTCTGAGCAGCTGGATCAGTCTGATGTGTTTCATAATTCCAGCTTGTTTTGGTTTTGATGCACAAAGATTAATGGAGGAAAAGTGCAGGTAGAAGAGTAAGATTCAATGACCCCACCGCCCAAAAAGCCAAATTATCCATCCATCCATCCATCCATCCATCCATCCATCCATCCATCCATCCATCCATCCATCCATCCATCCATCNTCCATCCATCCATCCATCCATCCATCCATCCATCCATCCATCCATCCATCCATCCATCCATCCATCCATCCATCCATCCATCCTGTACACTCTCACCAAAACCCAGGGATAATTTAGAGTTATCAACTAACTTCACATACGTAATTTTGGTCTGTGGGAGGAAACAAGAGTACTTGGAGAAAACATATGTGCATGCAGAAAAAAACATACAAATTCCACCAATAAAAGTCCCAGGCCATGAGGTGATTCTGTAAACTTCTAGCTGAGAGGCTAAAGTTCTTACCACTGCACCACCAGACAGAATTTTGAACGACAATGTTGATTTTCTGCGCAGTGTCTGCTTGTAGTTTATTTTACCTGGGCCAATCAGCAAACATAAGGCGGAGTTTTGAACAACAACAACAGTTGACATCTATACAATTAGAATCTTTTTGGCTGTAAACAACACCACAATGGATTTGAAATGAAACAAACAAGATGTGCTTTAGCTGCACAGACATTCAGCTTTAATTTGAAGGTATTTACATCCAAATTAGATGAACGGTGTATAAATAACAACAGTTTGTGTTTGCGCCTCCCACTTTTTAAGGGATCAAAAGTAATGGGACAAATTACCAATCAATAATCAAACTTTCACTTTTCAATATTTGGTTGCACATCCTTTGCAGACAATTACAGTCCGAAATGTGGAACATATAGACTTCAGCATAAGCTGGGTTTCATCCCTGATGATGCTCTGCCAGGCCTCTGCTTACACGGTCTCCATTTCCTGCTTGTTTTTGGACCATTTTCCCTTGAGTTTTGCCTTCAGCACGTGAAATGCTCAATCAGATTCAGGTCAGGTGATTGACTCGGCCATTGCAAAACAGTCCACCTCTTTGTCTTACAAAACTCTTGGTTTGCTTTGGCAATATCTTGAGGATCATCGTCTCTTTGCACTGTGAAGCACCATCCAATGAGTTCTGGAGCATTTGGCTAAATATGTGCAACCAGGACACTTCACATACAAAGGAAGTAGGGATTGCTTTAATTGCACGATTTCCTTAATTTTGGGAGATCAGAGATCGGTCAGTACTTGGATAAGATTAGTGGAAAAGATCAGCTTCTCATCTACCTACACAAAGGTCTGAAAATCAGCCACTGTCCCCTTTTGCTCTGCTGTGAGCACCACCTAATGTCCAGTTAAAGCAAGCTTGTATTGTTTCAAGAGTATTGCTCAATATTTTTTCAATAAAATAAAATTGGCAGTGGTGACATCGTCAGTTATTGAAAAAATTGGTATCGGCCAAAATTGGAATCAGCAGGTCAGACTTTTTAAATATTGTTGATCGGTGATTGGCTAGAAAACTGCAATCAGTGCACCCTACAACGAACCAATTCCATTGGCAGCCACACATGTCCACACCATGACACTACCAGCACCATGCTTCTCTGATAAGGTGGATCATCAGTAGTTCCTTCCTTCTCCATACATTTCTCTGCCCATCACTCTGGTACAAGCTGATCTTTGTGTCATCTGTCCATAGCATTTTGTTTCAGAACTGTAAAAGCTTTTTTTAGACGTTTGATGAACTCCAATCTAGCCTTCCTGTTTTCGAGGCTCACCATGGTTTACATCTTGGGTGTTCATGGTGGTGAAGTTTTCTCTTGACGGTTGACTTGTCTGTGAAACATGTATTGATATGTAAAACCATCTCATTTGAAAGTAACAGTAGGCACATAATAAACCTGCTTTACATCCTTTAAGGCTTTTGTTGAAACCTGTCATTATGTTTTGTTCTTTTCAACACTCTTCCCTCTGCAGGTATTTATGTAGAATATATCTGTGAGGAATATTACATTTAGCTACCTCCTCACCACACAAACAGGAAAAAAATCAAGCTTTAGAGTAAAGGATGTAAGCAAAATGGAAAGATAAATACATTCAGATGAATGAAACTCACATGAATCAGTTTCTTTTTTCACTTCAAAACCCATATGTTGGGATTAATTTACTGCAATATGGGGGGGGGGGGGGGGTTCATGGCACAACTCTAAAGCAATATTTTTCAGAGTGGTAACATGTTAAAGGGCAAACAGGAAAAGCCCGGCTGATAAAGGCCTGGACTAATGTCTCTTATCAATGCTGTTAGCGCAGGATGTCAAAGTTATTTGGACAGGAAAGAGGGGGGAAAGTATAAATAACAAGCACATGGTCTTTTTTATTCCAAACATACGTGGGTTTCTTTTGTTGTGGGTGAAAGGTTTTTGTAACTCTCGCTCATTTGCTCTTCCTTTTTAGCAGCCAGATGCGGTGTGTGTGTGTTCTGTAGGGGGATGGGATTGTTTTGGCTTCTTAAGCTGGCCTGGTCTAGGATTTCTTTGGGCTCTGTACCTGTTAGCAGCATAATACTCCTGTGATGAATGAGACCACTGTTATCGCTTGATTGCCAGGCTCCACTCTCTGTTCTCTCACGGGTCCGTGTGATTACCCATCTCCAGTGAGGCTGCTGCTGGCTTCCCAGTTTTCCCAGTAATCACCTCATCTACAGCGCACCTCCACCCATTTTCCTACTTCAGTAAACAGCAGTCATCATACTGAACTAAACAAAAAGCTCACGATAATGGCTCCGAAAAAATTCAAGGTCTAACATTACTTGAAGGAATGCATATCGCTCGCTGCCTA